ACACACACACACACACACACTCTCTCTCCCTGCAGCTAACTCCACATTACATCTGACACATGAAAACAGGGCCTTGCCACATTTGCATAAAACCAGCCGAGCTCTGCCTGTTCATCAGCATCCATTGAAAACCATATTCGCCCACTCGCTAACGACAATTACTATAATGCACTGATCATTGGATTATACCACCAAAGTGGTTTTAGCTCGCATCTGCATAATTGTTCTTAGCACATATATATATGCTAAGTGCCTGTGGGCTCCTGGCTGCCATTAACTGCTGCGGAGAGAGAACGCGAGCGAGGAGCCGCACGATGCTTGAAGAACAACAGCAAATTGCGTGCCAACTGTGTGGGTGTTTTAGTGTGTGTGTGGAGTCAGTGCTGAGAGGGAATGCAGACAGCATCATCTTATTAAAGTTGTTTTTAGGGTTCAATTCCTTCTCTAATGCAACTGATAGAGCAGCGATAATTACACATGTAGGGGTCAATGTAGGGGCTCATGAGCAAGGCAGTAAACCAGCAGCGGCTCTACTGTGCACATGAGTAGAAATTGCATTTTAAAGGAGGAGGTTTGAGGTAAACTGCATCCTGCTGGCTCAACTTAATAGATGAAAGTTAAGAAGTGATTCCCGGGAGTTTTGGCAGTGTTTGATTCATGCTCGATTGAAGTTTTTCACCTTTAAGTATTTTATATAAAAACGTAGTGATTTTACAGCCTCTCACAGTTTACGCTCTCCTTAGTTTACACTTTTGACCGATCCCTCATTTCATCACCTTCTTCTGCAAAGTCCCACAATGCATCAAATATTAAAACAGAAAACGGGATGTTTGCTCGGACCCTCATTTACTACTCTGTTCTAAGGCTTCTTTAGATTCATTTAGATTAACTAATCATCATCCCAAACATTATACAGGTTTGCACAGAGTTACAGTAGGGAAGGAGAAAACCTTAACGGTGCCATCTGTGGATCAGGTTTCAACACACATCCATGCATATTATACACATATCACACCAACAATGATACAAATCATGGACAGAAAAGGAGACAAAGACGAGATGTTATCAAGTGTCCAGCTTTGCCAAAGACTCAGAATGGGTGAATCCAGCATCACGTGACCAACAGATGGACGGACACATGCGGCAGCGTGAGCCAGATCCATCAGCTGAACCCAGACGTCCTGTCACAGCCGCTGTTCAAACACGCAGCGAGGCTTCGCAAATCTGCTGAACCCTTTCCTCCGGGAGAAAAAAATGCTGATTTCCTCATCAAATTCAATAATGTAAAACAAAAAAATAGAAAAGCACAAGTTATTGTCTGTGCTGGTGCGTAATGATACCTCACGCAACCAAGGCCGCTGCTACTTCATCGAACTCATCTCTTGAAAGCAGGCCAACGTCCCCCCCACACACACACACACATGCAGAATCACATTTGTTCGCACTCCCTCCCTTTTCTCTCTACAATTGTGCTAATTACTCAACCGTTTCCATGGCTACCGGTAGCACTTCCCTTCTTTGTCATCGTCCATCGCAAAACACGCATCCCATCGTTCAGCTGAGGCAACACTCGATACTGTCGAGTGGACTGATTTTGATCTCGTCGTCCCCCAATTATCAAGAGCGCACATATAAATGAAGAGTGACACTGACACATGACACTTAAAGGAGTAATCCACCTTTATATAGTTTTTAATGTGCATTCCAGGAATTCTTTACATTTCCCAGAATGCATTTGGACAGGGGGTTGTAGTATGTAGTTGTAGTACAACAGCAGAGCTTCAGTTTTGACAACATAAAATGCAGTATTTTGCATTTGTGTCTCGTCGGATTGTTTTTGTTGAATCAGCTTGAAACTTGGACTGTTACCTTGAGACATGAACTGGAGGATTCAAGGTGTGTGTGTGTGTGTGTGTGTGTGTGTGTGTGTGTGTGTGTGTGTGTGTGGGGAGAGAGAGCGGAGATTATCACACCTCGCTTCATTACTCATTAAACACATAGGAATGTGCTGTCTCTCTGTGTCCAGCTGGACGGAGCAAGACTTTAGAGGACACTCAAGAATTTAATTGAACTTACATTACTGCTTATTTGGATTTGCTGTGCCAAAGTACACAAGACACACAATATTTGCAACAGTAAACAACATTACTACAGATTCTGTTTACATGTAATAAACCACTAAAAGCATGCGTTTATTCTTGTGCTTTCATGCACATCTAAGTGACATTAATGATTCATTTTGCCGTATGAAGTGGGCTCGCTCCCCCTCTGTGCACATGCCTTAATACCACATTATCCTCAATGACCCTGGGTTTTATGAATGGGCAGCAGGGAGCTCTGTCATTGGCTGGGATAGATGACCAATCATGGAGGAGCACTGGCAACAGAGGTGGGAGTGGATGAATGGAGAGTCAGACATATTTAGAGGTCAGGGCCCGGTGTGTTTGTTTGTGTGTGTGTGTGTGTGTGTGTGTGTGTGTGTGTGTTAGGTTTATTGTAGGCGTCTATACATAACTGTGGGAAACACGGGGCAGACAATCGGCCTGGTTTAAAATTAGCAGTCAGGGCCACCTGCCCGTTCCTCCACAAAGGCGGAAACGAGGGAGTGCAGGGCGGAGATGGAGGGAACAGGAAGGGGGGAAAGGAGGGACGAGAAGGGGGAGATCGGGCATTGATCACTCTGCTGGTTTAACTCCTTCTCTCCTTTTTTTTTTGTACCTCCCTCGACACAGGGGGACATTGTTGGGCAGACTGGATCTGGATTTGAAGGTGGGGGGGTTGGTGGTCCTGGGCCAAGCAGAGTTCACATACCTCTCTGCTGGAGCACGGCCAGATTTCACAGGCCATATAAGTGGAGAACAGGGAGGGGAGAGTTAAAGGACCCTCTGCTATCGGAGCCCATGAAACACCTTGTGAGACTTCTTTAGAATTAAAGAGCCACCTGCAACCCCCCCATCCCCCTCCCCTCCAACATACAGCATAACCTTATTGCACAACTCATGCTTCCTGCCTTTGCCCAGACAGGAAGTCTTCTTCTTAACTTCACGCATGTTAAAACTGGCATCTCGTTTCCTAGAATCTACACCCACCACATGAGGTTTTTCTTCCTGTGAAGAAGTGTAATGTTTTCTGAAAAGCAATATGAACAGCGAGAAGTTACTTCACGGCCCCCAGAGGACTCAGCTCTTATTGCTGCTTTCAAATGTGTTTGAATATTACATTTGAAAATGTTGGATGTTTAATTTCCCTTGGACCTAAACTCAGTCATCTTGTTCCACGTCTGCACAGTCAAACTCTGCTATAAACAAAATGAGTCTCACCAGTGTTTTTCTTTTCTTTTCCAGTGTTCCTGTTTGGACACGACACTCCAGGAAAGGTGTTGGACTGTCCTCCGTAGTCAATCTGTGCAGCACGGCTGCGATGACAGCCATCTTGGCTCCAGTGTAGGAGCAGATGGACAGTACAGCGCTGAAAGGAAAACAGGGAGATTAGTTTTTAATTCTCCCCACATGCACTTCAACCTCTTTTTCAATCTTTGTTCTGACAATGTTTTAGAGCCAATTATGATTCGTGAAGCTGCTAAAATCCAGGTAATAATCTCCCAAATGGTTACAATCACATGGAAACAACAGATTGTAAAGATGGACGACATGTCTCCACTTCCTCCCACAATCGAGATATGAAGCCAAAATATCCTGGATAGTCTGTGTAGTAACATTCTGGCTCAACTAATTGCATCAATTAAGCAATTAAAATTCAACTTAGAAGAAAAATTTACATTTGAACATACATCAGTGAGATCAAACTTCAAATTTGATATTTAATTTGACATTTTTGGTTTTCATCCATGTCCCATCCACTAAAATGGAGGAGGTGGGGATTGTGAACTATATTGCAGCCTGCCAGCAGTAGTCGGCAATTAAGATGTTTTGGCTTCACTTTTGGGGAGCAGTCATGTAGTCCATCTTTGTTTACGGTCAATGGCAGAAACATGCATGATACTAGAAAACTGAAAATAGTCAAACAACCTTTTCCCATGTTACAACGGCAGGGAAATTGTAAAAATATTTATGGGTAAAGTTAGATAGGTAAAGCCAGTTTCAAAAGTTGTCTAATCTTCTTCTAATCATTATTTAAGGACTTTCTTTAGAAAGTTTGTTTTCCGCACCTCCAACCCCAGGAAACCTGCTTGTTTGTCTCGTCCTCTCGGCTTGGGGTTGTTTTCCCCTGTTCATCATTTCCCGTCTTGGCAGCAGCGCGTGAACATCAGGTGGCCATTCTGGCTCTGGGTGGTGCTGCAGAGATGTGGGGGCGCCCAGCGGTTGCTCAGTAGTCAGTGTAGATCCTGTGGGGCTGGCAGCAGCTACATCTGGCTACTGGGTCTCTGCTGGCAGCCACGTCACTCTGGATACGCAGTGACGACACATGGGGTTGTTGCACGATTGAATGATTGGATGTGATCTGCATTGTAGAAAATGTTCTTCAACAGTGTAAAAAAATGTCGTTAGGAGTACGTCAGGATTTTTTAAAATAAAAGTGAAAATGAAGAGAAACTGTATAAGTCCTGAACCTGGCATACAGTGTAGGATTCTGTGTGTCAGTCTACAGCTACATTGTCTGCTGGGTTTCAGGCCTGTACTCACACGCATTTTCCACTTGTATTATTCTAAATAACTAAAAGTAGTCTGTGGTGTGAATGACGACATTGAAGCAATGAAAATGGATAATTTGACAACTTTGTGTTTATTGACTCATCATAAAACATTCTTCAAACAATAAAACAATTTTAAATGTCCGTTTCTGTACAATGCTTGCTAAGCAATTTTATTTATATATAGAAAATGTAAGAGGAGTTGTGTTAAAATGACAAAACTCCTTCAAATTTAATGGCAGGTACTCTGGGAAAAAATAACAGCATTCCATCGACAAATTTTTTTTCCAAGCAATAAATATGTATTTATAAATAGTGTAAATTTACATCAAGATTAGAAACAACAAAACAAAAAAAATCACAAATTAAACTTTATTCCATAAGTCTATGTGCAACCCATTTTCTTTGTGACTTGGCTAGTAAGTTTTTTTTCTAGTTATTTCCTTTTTTTTTTACCTAAGAAACCAACAAAACGCCGTAGTTTTGAAAAGAACAAGACAAAGATAAAACATAAAAGCTGTATAAAAAAAATAAAAAAGAAAGAAAGAAAACAAAGAAATCACCTAAACTCTTCACATTACAAATGTTTTTGGGGAGATTTTGCTGTCCAAAGAGTCTTTGAATTACCATCTATACCATAGAAAAAGAGCAGTTAGGCTAGTGCTCCTTAGAGGGAAAAACCAAAGAGAATTCAGGGGAAATCTATAAATCAAATCCAACATATCATCCTGTTACCAGAATAGAAAAAGAGAGAAAGGGAAGGAGGGAGAAAGGTTGTCAAGTCAGTAGTCTTTTATGGGTGGTGTTGCCAGTTGTGTCAGTGAACAAGTATCTACAAAACATTTTTATCACGCCTTAAAGAATCCCGAACCCCCTGTTCCCAACCATTTTTGATTAAGTCCTCCAGTAAAACAGGGCAGAACCATTGTCATTAGAGGGGGCAGGCGGGGAGGGGGAGACAAGTCCTGTTTAGCGAGCTTGGCGGCGCCCCCCTCTGGAAGGGCCGGGCCCAAGCACTTCGAAAAACAGGTTGCATAGACAGACACACTCAGCCTCCAGCCGTCGCTATGGAGACCAGCCATATGAGAAGGGCGGTGGAGAGGGCGGGGGAGACGGCCTTGGCTTTCCTGAATATCAGAAATGGTCCGTGTATGAAGATGTTTGTTATGTTCCATTTTTTTTATTTGTTTATTTATTTAATACAAGTTCCGGTGCATGGGCATCACGGCTCCGCAGCAGAAGAAGAAAGAGGCGTCGCCTAATGTCAAGATGAAGATGAATGAAGAGGAGGGGCCTGGGCGGGAAAATGATACGAGAATTAGTCATTGAATGCATCACAGGCCTCTGGGGTCATCAGGTCAAATACCACAAAAAAAGAACTATGTAAAGTTTTACTGCAGATATATTTGGCTTTATATGTATAAAAACTACTGTCACTGGCTGCTTAATATTCAATAAAGTAACAAACACTGCTTTAAACTATTTCTTGTAATTAAATTGAATATAAACCACTCTCCAGTCACCTAACAAACTTTTTTATTATATATAAACATCCCTGACTCTTTGTTTGGGGTGTAACCTATGAGCATATAAAGGAAACCGTGGGCCATAAAATACAAGTCCGACCAATGGCGATGAGTTACTGATATTAGGGAGAAAAACTAAATGATTGATGCCAATATATCAGCCAAAGTAAATATATAAAAAAATTGGCAATGATTCCTTAGAAGTAGGTTTGATATTTTCCAGTTTAACCATAA